CGACTTCTCGAGCTGAGCTGATTCTCTCAGGCCTCGCGACCAAAGTCCTCCTGCCCAAACCGCCGTCTCCGCCGGCTCAGGGGGGGCTGAGTGCGAGGGGTGCCTCTGGAACGAACAGGTAACAAGCATGCGCGGGCGTGGCAGCGCCCCCGTTGCTGGCGTCGTCGGCCCGCCGAGCTGTCGCAGGCGGCGAGCCATCGCCATCCTCCGCCGCCCCCGGCCTATCTGCTGGGAGCCCGCCAGGCGAAGGGTTCAGCAAATACCTAGCCAAGCGCTGCCTCCTGGCATCGCTGGCGCCTCGTACGCGCGGCAACACATTGCACCTGGTGAGGGGCGCGCCAGGCCGCCAGTTTACCAGATGTCGGAGGTGAGCGTCAAATTCGCCGCGCGCCAAGGCGTTCCCATACCGCGCAGCATGGCCGCGCAAACCATTCAGCTTCACCTCGGCGCCCATCTAGCATTGATTCATTGAGCTGCTCGCGCGGCGGTTTCAAAGCGGGCGCTGCGCATTTGGGCGCCAAGACGGGGGCCGTGCCTTTGACGGAGAGTCACTAGCGGTCGTCCGCGTTCAAGTATCGAGCAGTCTGGGCCCGCATGAGCCAGGGGGGCTACAGAAGTTCTTGATGATGATGGTGATGATGAAGGTGACGATGATGATGCCCCCCCCCCCTGTTTGCTTGCTCTTGTGGCCTCGAGAAAGTGCCCCGCGCGCTAGGCCCTGGGAGACCGACCCCCCTGCGCACCCCCAACGGCGTCGAGAAACTGCCGCGCCTGCGATGCCCTGGACGACCGTCGCGCGTGGCGGCCGCAGTGAGAGACCACCCCCTGCGCACCCCCTGTGGTTGCCGCGCTTGCTGTGCCTGGACGACCGTCGAGCGTAGCGGCCGCGGTGAGAGACCGCCCCCTGCGCACCCACTTTGGTGTCGAGGAAACGCCGCGCCTGCTGTGCCTGCATGACCGTCGCGCATAGCGGCTGCGGTGAGAGACCAACCCCTGCGCACCCCCATGGTGTCGAGGAGACGCCACGCCTGCCGCGCCTGCATGACCGTCGCGCATAGCGGCCGCGGCGAGAGACCACCCCCTGCGCACCCGCATGGTGTCCAGGAAATGCCACGCCTGCTGTGCTTGCGTGACCGTCGCGCATAGCGGCCGCGGTAAGAGACCACCCCCTGCGCACTTTCTATGGTGTCGGGAAAGGGACACGCCTGCTGTGCGTGGACGACCGTCGCACATAGCGGCCGCGGTGAGAGACCACCCCCTGCACACCCTCTGTGATGTCGGAAAAAATTACGACGCGTGGCTGTGCGTGGACGCGTGTTCCACGTGAAGGCCGCGCGCGTGTTGCATGCGTCTGGTGCGTGTGATGCGTCAGGAGGTGTGTATGTATGTATGTGTATATGTATATATATGTGTGTGTGTGCGCAGATGTATTGTGTGTCGCGGGAGAAGTGGAGAAGTGTGCAGGTGTATTGTGTGTACAGATGTATTGTGTGTGCAGAAGAGGAGTGCCGAGGAAAGGTCAGACGTAAGCGAACGCGGGTGCGACGCGGGGGGGGAGCAAACTCCGACGGAAGGACCCCGCATGAGAATCTGTCCAGATTGCCTTTCGCCCTTTTCTTCCTCGCCCTGGCAGACACCCTCCTCTCGCCCTCTGCTCTGCCCTCCTCCTCCTCCTCTTCCTCCTCCTCCTCATATTATTTTCCTCCACCTTCTATATATATCCTCCTCCTCCTTCTCCACCTCATCATCGTCGCCCTCTCCCAATCCCTTCCCCGTCGTCATCCTTCCCCTGCTTTCTTCTCCATGTGCTCTTCCCCCTGGTCGGGGCAAACACATCGATGTCCCTCGGCGCCGTCGCCGCCTCGGCCACCGCGCGCGCATTCGCCGACGGCTGGTCCGCGAAGCCTTTGGGACAGCTCCGCGGGGCATGCCTTTGGGACAACCCCGCGGGCCGCTGGGGCGCGGGGGCAGGCGTGGGGGCAGACCGTCGGGGCAACCCCGCGGGCCAGACCGTTGGGACAACCCCGCGGGCCTCTAGCTGCGTGCCGCGGCGTTCATGCGGGAGACAGCACGAAGCCAAACTCCGCGGCAAGCTATTCGGCCTCATACCTGGGGGTGTCCGCTTTTTCTTCGAACTTCTTGAGCGTTTCCCGCAAGGACGCTGGCGGCCCGCGGGGAACGCGGGCTCGTTAGGGAGGGAACTCCCGCCTGAGTTTTCCTTACAATTCAATCACAGACGAGGTTCCCGCCTGATACTTCCTCCATATTTAGGCCTGAGGAGCCCCAAAATGACGACAATTACAGGATGCCGATGACCCACCCGCCTCGGATTCGAACATGAAGCGCGGGCCCCGTAGGGGGGGAGCTCCCGCATGAGATTTCCTCCCAAGTCATTCACAGACGAGGTTCCCGCCTGATATTTCCTCCATATTCAGGCCGGGCGAACCCAACTTTCACGACAGTTACAGGATGCCGATGGCCCGCCTCGGATTCGAACATGAAGTTCGGTCCCCTTACGGAAGGGGCTCCCGCTTGAGATTGCCTTGCCGTTCAGTCTCAGACGAGGCTCCCGCCTGATACTTCCTCCATATTCAGGCTTGAAGAGCACAGAAACGAAGACACTCACAGGATGCCGATGACCAGCCTCGGATTCGAACATGCAGTGCGGGCCCCTAAGGGTGGGAGTTCCCGCCGAAGACTTCATCCCAAGTCACTCGCAGACGAGGTTCCCGCTTGATACTTCCTCCACATTCAGGCTTGAGGAGCCTAAAAGTGACGACAATTACAGGATGCCGATGACCCGTTTCGGATTCGATCATGAAGTGCGGTCCCCTTAGGAAGTGGGCTCCCGCCTGAGATCGCCTCGCACTTGGCTCGCAGACCAGGTTCCCTCCTGATATTTCCTCCATATTCAGGCCTGAGTAGCCCAAAAATGACGACAGTTACAGGATGCCAATGACCCGCCTCGAATTCGAACATGAAGTGCGGTCCTCTTAAGAAAGGGGCTCCCGCCTGAGATCTCCTCGCAATTCACTCACAGACGAGGCTCGCGCCTGATATTTCTTTCATATTCAGGTCGGGCGAGCCCAAAAGTGACGACAGTTAGAGGATGCCGATGACCCGCCTCGGATTCGAACATGAAGTTCGGTCCCCTTACGGAGGGGGTTCCCGCTTGAGATTTCCTTGCAGTTCAGTCTCAGACGAGGCTCCCGCCTGATACTTCCTCCATATTCAGGCTTGAAGAGCACAGAAACGAAGACACTCACAGGATGTCGATGACCCGCCTCGGATTCGAACATAAAGTGCGGGCCCCTTAGGGTGGGAGCTCCCGCCTAAGACTTCCTCCCAATTCACTCGCAGACGAGGTTCCCGCCTGATACTTCCTCCACATTCAGGCTGGAGGAGCCCAAAAGTGACGACAGTTACAGGATGCCGATGACCCGCCTCGGATTCGAACATAAAGTGCGGTCCTCTTAAGAAAGGGGTTCCCGCCTGAGATCTCCTCGCAATTCACTCACAGACGAGGCTCCCGTCTGATATTTCTTCCATATTCAGGTCTGAGGAGCCCAAAAGTGACGACAGTTACAGGATGCCGATGACCCGCCTCGGATTCGAACATGAAGCGCGGGCCCCTTAGGGAGGGAGCTCCCGCCTGAGATTTCCTCCCAATTCACTCGCAGACGAGGCTCCCGCCTGAGACATCCTCCATTGTCATGCCAGGGGGTGAGTGATGACGAACTGATAAGTGAGTGAATGATGATGGTGAGTGAGTGAATGAGTGAGTGATGATGATTATGGTGACGATGAGAAGTGAGTGTGTGAGTGTGTGATTGAGTGAGTATGAGTGTAATTGAGTGTGTGATTGATGAAGATGATGCTGCTGTTGCTGCTGATGGTGATGATGATGTTGATGATGATGATGATGATGATGATGATGATGATGATGATGATGATGATGATGATGATGATGATGATGATGATGATGATGATGAGTCAAGGAGTGATTGAGGGTGAGCGGTGACGGGGGAGAGAGGGTGTGTGACAGGACTGCGCGGGGTGTCCAGAGAAAACAAGAACCCCACTTAGGATGTGGGGAATAACCCCACTAAGCATGTGGGGCAAAACACTCATACCCAACCTGTTGCCGCGAGCCTCGTCTCCCAGGGGGGCGGCGACCATATGTTTTCATTCGCACAAGACCTACGGATTGTTTCTTGGGGATCCCCAGAGGTATCGAACCATTCCCCGGGTGGTCAGCTTTCACCCAGGATTGAATAATTTCTGGTCTCTTGACCCAATACAGCTGAGAAATCGAAAGTGCGGAGCAGCAACGAGATTGAGAAACAACGAATTCCTGAGGTCTGGGATTCTCGTCCCGCTTTCGCCCAGGACAATAAAACCTATCAGAAAATAACACCCGCAGCGCGAGTTTCTCTCTCGTGCCCGCCAGTCCTGAACTTAAGGAGGGATCATGGCTCGTTGACGGCCTCGGATCTTCACCTCCTGGTGTGTAGCTCCGTGGGTCCGGACCAAAAACAGTTGGAAATTCGCCCCCAGATTAGAAACCTGATCTTGGAGCCCATCCTGCCTGCTTCTCTCCCCCGATCGAGATCTGACTGCCCCAGATCCGAAACGGGCCCCCAGATGCCGGAAGTCAAGGAACACCTACAGCGCGACCTTTTGGGGCCCACCCTGGGCAGTTATTTGTCCCAGGTAGTTGTTTGTTGGGCCTCAGGATCCGAAATTGGGCAACGGAGGCCGAACATGTACACAAAGTCTGCCGCGGTTTGTTCGACTCTGTGGCTCCTCGTGACCTTCGGGCGGACCCTCCCCGCCTTGATTGAGGATGCTGGGAGGCGACGCCCGTGCCGCCTGGTCAGGACAGCACCTTGGGATCCTTGCCCCGAGGATCACAAATTTTGAAAACGCAGGTTCGACCTCCGTTCTATTCTGGCGGCGGGCGTCTTTCCCTATATCCTGGAGGTTATGTTTCCTTGAGGATGGGGGCTCGATCTCCAAAACTCAGGTTTTCGATTCTCCCTGCGTGGGATTGGAGGAAAATGCCACGGTTGAAAAACGACAGTTTCCTTCGTGTAGTGGCTGCTGCACGCCCCTGGCCTTTCAGATACGACGGCTACCACGACGGCTACTTGGAGAGACTTCCCGCCACGGTGTTCTGGGCGGAGACGTTGTCGATGGCCTCCTTGTGGAGGGGCGGGGCAGAGGGGAAGGGCGGACCCAGACCTCCAACACCTCGAAAAATCAAGATGGAGGTTTCACCGTTTTCAGGACATGAATGCCGTTACGGTATCCCAGGACCGTCAAGAGTTGTTCAGGATAAAAGCCGATCCCAGAGAAGGGGTCGAGAGTTCGGGGGACCCCGTATCGAAAAACGGCATGGGAGTTATGATGAGGAGGGGGATCGCCTTGAAGGAAAGAGTTCTTGAGGGAGAAGGGTCATGGATGCTTTTCATTATTTCGGGTCTTCAGGGCCCTGCCAGGGCCCCAGGACCGTCATTAAAAAAACGACTCGGGATGAAAAGCTGGTCTGTGTTAAGGCCCTGAGGTCCAGGATTCGTTTTCTGCATGCCAAGAGCTTGGGCAGGATTTGCCCGCACCCACCATGTGAGAATTATATGGAGATCGGTCAGAAGTCAGTTTCTGGCAAACTAGTTGCAGACCCACCTTAGGACAGGCGAGAGGGCATAGACAGCATCAGCTGTGCTATTTTCTTCCGAGGCGGCACAAAAGGCCATGCACGTTCCAGCGTACATATCCGCGTTGATTGTATGCAAGGAAGTCATAGTGAGGAAGATACTGATGCTCTCGTCACGAGAGCTCCCGGGAGGCCCTGAACAGAGCTTTGGGCCTGAACAGAGAAACGGAGTTTGTTCCCAAAGGACACACTCAACTCTCGTGGCGATGGCTGGGCGCAGCTAAAGCAAAATGCCAGGATGGTCCCCGTGAGTGGATTTCGCTGGGAGCCCTCGTCGTTGTTCTCCTCGGCGTCGGCGTCGGTGTCGGCGTCATCGGCGCGCCTCCGGCAGGCCACCCAGACGCTTTCCGCGCGCCTGAGAAGGCGTACAGGGAAGCGGTCCAGCGTAGAACCAAGGAATCCGCGCGGACCTCCGCAAGTCTATGTGTACACCGTTCTATGCCCCAGGCCATCCCAGTCCCCCACCGTCTGGAACAACGCTCAAGACGGAGGCTTCTCGCCACTATTGGCGTCTGGAGGCAGTTTTCGTGCTTCTTAGCCACCATATCGCATAATTTGGGGTGCACTAGTTCGGGGGAAGAGGTCGAGACTTGAGGTCAACAGTGTCGAACAAAAGTACGGCGTCGGCGGCCTGGATTAGACTCCGCGTAAGAGCGCCATGAGGGTCGTCGGGGCAAGAGGCCCCGACGGATACGGGTCCTGGACCCTTCCATCCCGAGCCGTCTTTTTTCGGTCCACTGGCCCAGGAGGGCCCCCAGGAGGTCGAACTTTTAGCGAAAGAAGCAGCCCCCTTTTTTGTCCCAGACCTCCGATGTCTTGAATTTCTTAATGCGGAGTCCCTGGACCTCTCGTCAGCTTCCTGGGGACCGGTTTTTCGTCTGAGATACCTGTTTGACGTTCCCGGGAACCCGAATATTGCCTCCAGGCGCCGAAAATTACGAAAGACATACGTCTTGATTTGTCGAGGACGTTGGAGATCTGGGCTTTCCTCAGGACCTCAGGGAAGGGGCCGAGGCCCTCAGGGGTGCACGCTGCGAAAGAGTTATACGAGGAGGCTGCGCAGCCATGCTGCCTCTCTCCCGCCGCCGCCGCCGTCGTCGTTCACGTCGTTGTCGGATTGAGAGGATCGCGATTTGTCTATGCGTTTCGCCCTCCTTGGGTCTCCGGGAAGCTTCTTGTCGCAACGGCTGGGTCCTCTTCGAAATTCTCGTCAAAACGCCTCGCGGTGGAGAGGTCTAGGGGGTGACCTTCGAGGGGGGGTCGTCGTTGTCGTCGTCGTCGTCGTCGTCGTCGTCGTTGTCGTTGTCGTCGCCGTCGTCGCTGGACCACGGAGGCCTCTGGAGACCTGCGGAGATCGTCGTCGTCGTCGTCGTCGTCGTCGCAGGAGGGGGTGCGCTGCCGTGTTTTTCGTTGTTCTCTCTTCTCCTTGCAGGGTGTGGCTGCTCGCCGGCTTCTCGACGGCCGCCATACGCCTCCTGGACGAGGAGGCCGAGGACTTGCCCATGGGCCAGGAGGATTGCAAGACAGGCCCTTTGTCGTCGTCATCGTCGTCTGCGGCGCCTTCCCACGAGGGCCCGAGGAGGCGCGGAGGAATGGCCGCCAGTGCGGCGCCTCCTTGAGGTGGAGGGAGGCCCTGAGGGGTCCCCTGAGACCTGGCGCGGCCAGGTTGCTTCGGGCGGCAGCGCGGCGCGAGCGCCGTCGGGCGCCTGCCGAGAGGTTGACCTGCATGGTTTCCTCTCGGCGCTTTCCGCAACGTCGGCGCTGCCACCGCCGCCCGCCGCCGCCGCCGCCGCCCGCCGCCGCCGCCGCCGCCGCCGTCGTCGTCGTCGTCGTCGTCGTCGTCGTCGTCGTCGTCGTCGTCGTCGTCGTCGAGGTTCGAGGATTGGGATGGAGTCTTCGGGATTGTTCTGACAGGAGGACCGAGGTTCGAGGATACAGCTGTAGCAAGGGTGTCCGAGGCGGCTGGGACGCCTGCCGCAGGTGGGTCAGGAATGATCGGCCGGATCTCGTGGCCCTTCGGCCCAAGTGGCCCCCCCTCTGCTGGGGCTACCGATTGGGGCGCAGGTGACTCTGTCTGCAGGGAGCCCGCGGTGAGGGAAATGGCGCAGCTGGTACGCCCGTGGAGGCGAGGAAAGGTATCGCGCAACTGTATGCTGGTCTGGTCTGCTGCCTTGCTGGCCTGGCTGCTGCACGTGCGAACGAGGAGGCGTGTGAATGATTGAAGACTGAAGGCCACAGCGTATTCCCGGTCATATTCCTAGAGACTCCCCATGGAGGATTCCTGGGAACATGGCTAGACATGCTGCGGGGTCTTGAGCTGTGGGCCTCATGGGGGCTTCTCGGAGGCTTCCTGGATGCCTTTTGCGGGCCTCAAGGGGCCTCTGGGGGGCATCTTGGGGACATGTCACGGGCCTGTGAGGATTATTTTGGGGGTCTCGGTGCCATGTTGTGGGCGGGTCCCCAGCTGTGTTCTTGGGGGTCCGTTGGCGTTCCCCCGTTTGAAACCCCTCTTGTGGAAACGTATTGGCGCACGTTGGAGACACAAGTGTTCTGAATTGTCTGAGCACTCCATTCAGTACTCCGAGACGGATCAGAGGGCTGGGATATACATCTAGTGAGCGTAGCGAGCATCCCAATCTCGCCTGGCTCCAGGCGCCGGCGTCCTATTTGCGTGGGCCGCTAGAGGATTCTGCGGCCCAAATTGCATCTCAAACGGGATATGATCAATCCTCTGGGAGATGCCCCATCCTAGTTCTCACGTCCAACCTACCACCCCATGGTCCCCATCCTGCTATTTACTTGGTAGCAGAGCTGGCCTCACTAAGATGTGGTCAGCTCTGCCTATCACAATACTGCTCCACGGCACGGCATGGTGTGCCACCAACACCACTGCGACGTCAGAGCGTGACTACTGGCAAGCAGGCGGGAACGCCGATAGCAGGAACGCCATGCCCCTTTGGACGATGTCCATTTGAATACCCCGAATAGCGTACATGCCATGGTTCTTCGCCATTGCACTCCGAATTACAACGAGCGTGGGAATGAGATACCATGCCAACTTCCTATGCGCGGGAGCGCAGACCCCATACTCTTAAACCAGCATGGGGGTATGCCTTCACAGCCGAATCGCCGATTCACGGCGACAAGCATCCCAAAGGTAGTCGACAACACCAGCTATGATCCAACACGAAAGAAATTTTTGAAGTTCAATAGCTTTGGCATTATCTGGTGAATCATCGGTTGCGCAATTGGTTACATGCATCGCGGTAGCCACAACGACGGAGGTGATCACGCGATTCGGGGGCCCTACTGGGAACCCCCATCAGGAAACTTTTCGCTTATGGAATTCATCTGCAAAGTCTATGCGTGGCTTAGCGTTACAAGTGCCCGCGTGACTCCACAGCAACAGGCTGCATGCCTGCAGCGTGGTCTGGGAGGGGTAGCTTGCGCCATAGCGGTGCGAACCCCACCGCGGGTCATCAACTACGGCGTGACCATGCAGGGGTCCAGGCCGACCCCGTCACGCAAAACACGTTTTTTTTGAGCGCCAGAGGCGAGAACCTTGAGGACGAGCGTCAGCTCACCGGCGGTATGGTTCTCATCGGCTTCAGGCCTGAACCAGGCGAAAGAAAAGAATCGATCTTCGCCAGGTTCAAGATTGCGCGCCTCGAAGCCGATTCGGTTGGCTTTGCTATTCCGAACATCCAGCACGGCGGTGCTCTTCAGATCACTAAGGTTCGGCCCTGGCAGAGCAGCCCAACTACTACAACCGCTGAAAGGTCAAATGCCGCGGGCCCAGCAGCAAGATGAGCTGCTGGATCGCGCGCGCAGCTGCGGCCACCTGGCCGAGCATGCTCCTGGCAGCACTGGCAACGCGCCATTGGGAGCCACAGGGCGCGGAAACGCGAATACTTGCATGATAGACGCCGGCGGAGACGCAGCCGCGCCAATCAACGCATGGGCCGACGACCCTCGTGGCCCAGAAGAGCCCACTGCATCGTATTTGCAAGTCCTCAGGGCCCGGGAACTGGCGGGGGGTCGCATCGTCGCGCCAAAGCTGGGGGCGCCCTTTTAATCTTACATCCTACATTGCTCCTGGCAGTCAAACCGCCCTACGGGGCTCAGCCTCCACGGGGAACTCGCCCTTTGATTCTGGGGCTGAACCTGCGGCGCCATCACCAGACTGAAACGAACACCTAGGTATGTCGGACCGACCCCGCGGACCCGGAGACGCGGAGACCGCTGTATATTTATTCCTTGGACATCAGCAGGCTGAGCGTCGACGGAGAAGGTTCACTAAGGACCTCGCGCGAAGGGTCCGCAGAGCAGCCCGGAGGATATCGCACCGACGGGGCAAGGGGCGAGGCAAGGGTGGGCACCGCAATCGACGGTCGCCTGGCAAGGGGGTTGCTACGTTTCTAGCGAGCCCCACGGTTTCCGAAGTCTTCCTGGGAAAGCGTCGGGGCCGACGCCGCGCCACTGGCAGAGGAGAGGGTGGGCAATTTAACCCCGTGGACCGAACTGGGGCGAGGGTGCCAGTCACTTCGGAATCAGTGCGCAGCGAGGGGAGATGGAAATGGGCATGGCGCTGTCCTCTTGACGGCTCAAGAGATTGTCGCGGGCGCGGAGCGCGTCGACTGGCCGGCGCGCGACCTCCCCCCCGCGAGGGCACTCCTCGCATGCAGCTACTTTCGGCGCGAGGCCATGGGCCAGGCGCTGACGGACCTCGCCCTCGACCCCCCGAAAGGTGACATCGCGGGCGCGACGGCGGAGCGTGGCGGGGACATCCCCGCCGCAGAGGGAGATCTTCGCGAAGGAGGCTTGCCCCCAGTGAACGACGCCGCGCGCGGGGGCACGCCGACGGATGCGACGGCGCGCGGAGACGCGCCAAAGCGTCGCACAGGCTTTCCCGACGACGTTACGGCCGACGATTCGATTGACGTCGGCTGGGGCCCTGTCGGGTCCAGCGCCAACGCGGCGCGTCGAGCTCCGCGCGCCCGCTCGCGTGCCCCCGCAGGCGCGCCGAGAAAGTAGGGCGGCCCGCAGGTGGGCCGACAGCCGTCGCTGACCCTGGAGGAGATGAGATGGACTATTGGGCCCGCTGGGGCTGGACTCCTGAGCAGGTGCGTCATTTGCATTCTAAGCAGAAGCTTGAACGCGACGAGAGCGGTAAGATCATCGGGTTTTCTGTAGGCCGAGCGCCCGCAGATGTGGAGCGCAACGTCGCGCCAAGCGGGGGCACATCGCGCTGCGTGGCAACTACCGCGTCTGCGACTGCTTCCAGCGGCAGGAACACCGCCCGAAGTGCCCCTTGGACTCGGACAGCAGGTCCCCCAACAGGGGAATCGCGCCCTGGGTGCCGCGCCGCGGAGATGTCGTCGCCGGAAATGTTGATGTGGCGTCCGACGCTGACCGCATTCCCTGCATCGACCAGGACCATGACAGGGTGGCCCGAGACCGGGCTGACCTCTCCAGAAATCATGAGGTCAAGAGGTACAACAGCCAATTTCATGATGATGAAGAGGACGATCGCGGAAACGCTGAAGGGAACGGGGGCGGAGAAGCTGACGGAGACAGGAGCGGACATGTCGCCGGTGCTGCCGATGCAGCCTCGTCCTCGGGCGCTGCGCCGGGGGCATCTCCCGGTCCGTCAGATGGGCAGCCAGGATCGGCCAAGCGAAAGGCCAGTCGAGGCAAGGCGTGCACCCGCAAGGGGATATGCACTGACATGCGCACCAAGGATGCTGGAGTGCCCGCCAGGCTGACGCCGGGGACCTTGCAATCCGGATGCCCCGGCGACTTTGAGGGGTCCGACTCCAAGACAATCTCCGCGGCGCGTCCAGGACGACCCAGGAGCAAGCAGAGCACCCTGTCGGAGGAGGTTCTCATGCTCACCTCCAAGCAGAGGGCCAAGCCGGCCGCTTCAGGTGCAGTGGAGGCGAAGGCTGGTCAATTGTTTAGTTACCTCAGAGGCCCCTCTGCCTGGCATGTGGGAACGCTCCAGGGGTCCGCTCGCGGCTGCCGCTGTTTCGAAATTCACGGGGGCTGCAGCTCCTTTGCCACGGAAGCAGGCAGCCGCCCAGTCGGCAGAATTTCCATATCAAAGCGCGCACCTCGGACGCTGGCAGCCCTCCCCGAGGCCTGTAACCTCCAGGGGCAAGTGCCCAGGCGCGAGAACTGCATCAGCTGTCGGGGCTTCTTCTTCTGCCGCGGTTGCAGGGGCTCTTCCTCTGGCGTCTGCCCCACATTCTGGACCTGATGCCCGCGACCTCCAGCGTCGATTCGCCGACCAAACAGGCGCTATAGGCGGCGAAGGCGGAGGCGCCGCCGAGGAGGGCAAGGGCGGGAACTCTACGGGGAGAGGCCCGACGCGCCGCGGAAACGCGCTGCAGACGACCAGAATCCACATTGGGACGTGCTCGTTGCCCCCGAGGAGCTCCTCGTCGCCAAGCGCGACATCGCATGCGAGAGGGCCTGCGGCGACGAAGCTGACAGGGAACGGCAGCGGGCGCGCAGCACCCTTCGGCGAGCACTGCCCATGGGGCCGATCAGGGGAGGCGGGCCGCTCGCGCAGGCCAGCGAGCGCTTCCTCTCCAATCGCGAAGAGTTCATCTCGATGAGCCAGTGGTCTTCCAAGGTCCTCCGCCACTAGTCCTTCTACTGCGCCTGCCTCGGGGATCGGTTCAGCGAGGGGTTAGTGAATTTGTTTCCGCCCTACGACGCCGTGGGCGGCTGGGCCCGGGCGGATGACCTGTTGGCCCATCAGCGCGGGGGTAAGGGCCACCCTGCAGTCATGAAGTATATGGGTCCGCTCGAGTACGACATGGACGACGTCGCCCTGGTGCTCATGCTGGTGGCTGAGGTGGTGGATCGCGCTGGCGACCAAAAAAGCCGACTTCAGCTAAAAGCACTCCGCGGCGGAGACGCTCGCAGACGGGCGCTGCGCATCCGCGCCACCAATGGCCGCAGCTGGCCAGGCATCATGGGCCTGGAGAGCACGCGCTGCCCTGTGACCTACACTGCCGACATTAGGTACTTCATACATGGTGCCAAATTTGAGCACCTGTCGCCCATCATGCAGCTCGGCTTGTCGTGTCGCACAGAGGACAAAGGCCGCCGTAACCGCAGCGGCAAGCGGTAGCATAGGCGCCTATTCGTACATGGTTGTTCGTACCTTCCGGGGGATTCTCGGATCCAGATTGGCTTCCGCAGAGATGCGAAGTGCGCCATCTTCGTATCGCTTCCACGCTTATTGCACGAGCGTGTAAAGGTGTGGAGGTCAGCAAACGACATCCTGCTAAGCAGCGGCAGCGCCAACGACTTACTAGCACCTAGCTTCGTAGTGCAGGTGGTAGCCATGACGGGACAGTGGAAGAACCAGGTCTGGCGCAATCCGCTGTACTTCGACGAGGCACGCCAATGCCAGGAAGCGATCTCCGAGGGAGATCTGGACCTCGGCTGGCATGTCCCCGAGACGCCTTTCGGCCTTGGCACCAAGACACCATGCGGCATCCTGGGGGGCACGCCGGTCTATATGACCAACGCGCCCAGACGTTTCTAACCGCACCGCGGAAACGCAATCCGACCATGGATCGGCTTCGGCCATGTCATGGCATCTTCCAACTCCAGCACCACCAGGGGGAGCCCTTTTCCATGGCATCTATAACGTCCTGGTGTCTGGATTGCCCAAGGTCGGCTAGGTTCCATCTGAGGTGGAAGCCGTCCTCGGGGTCGGCCAGTCTGGCGAACGAGGGGCCTCCGTCCCAGCTGCCTTCCAGGAGGATCCTCCTGGGGCTGAGGGCGGGGGAGCTGCGGCCGTTGCCGAAAATCCTTGGGAGTTATTCCCTGAGGTGTCTCAGGATGGTGGCTGCTATTCTCTCTGGGGTTTTCACCAGGAGTAACCCTCCTCCACATCAGCCGACCTTGTACTTGAAGGACGCTGCTGCATCCGAGGCGATGGAATGAGCCAGGCATGTGGCCGCGCTCAGAACCGGGACATGCACCGAGTCCGAGGTCTCTTTGGATCTCCACTTGCAGCCGTTGCTGTTGTTCGCGATGAGAGCCTGCTGCGCTGCGACTTGCTGTTCTTCAAGGGGTAGGTCGTGAGGAGCTTGCCTGTTGGTCGGTCTGGCAGGCCGGCACCACACTACAAGATGGTAGAGTGGTTCTAGTCTTTCTTGTAGCAACATCTCGTCGCTCGGGAGGGTGATTTCGGTGGTGGCCCAGTCTGCTCCTCCGGCGTCGGGCCCGGCTGATTCCAGGTTCCGCTGCCACCTGGTTATTTGCGCCACTGTGGTGTCGTTACACCGGTCCGGCGCTAGGATGTGTAGGGCGTCGCTGGTGTCCGCGCTGTTGCTCCCCCAGTGGACCACGATGGAGGGGGGATCTGCGTCCTTTGGGGGCTGTCCGTCACGAAGAACTGTGCTGCTAACAGTTGCCTGAGCGGGGGTGCCATTTTGCCGGTTCGTACCGGGTTGCCGATGGGGACCAGGTGCGTGATTAGGCTAGCGGCTCTGAAACCCCATTGGGAGTTAGCCATGGCGGCGAGCTCTATGGGATCCGGGCCCCCTGGGGCTGGGACACCCTGAGTCGCTAAGGCAAGAATTCTGCAGGGACCTCCGACGGAGCCGGCGGCTGCCAGCGCTGCTTGTATGTGGGTCGCCTGGGCGTCAGCGATCAGCACGGTGGGGATCGTCTGTTGGTCGCGCTCTGCTTCTGCTTTGGAACGCACCAACTCCTTGATTTGTTCGCATGCGCTCGGGCCCGCCATGGCCAGGGCGGTTCCGGTGTCGTCCGCGTCCCTGTTGCCTATTAAGGATCTTCGCGCGATTACCGACTCCCCACTTCTCTGACGGCAGCCATCAGGGGGGTAACTGGGAAGGGGGGGGCCCTCTTCGTCTTTCTTCCTCTGGCGGGAATCTGGCTAGCAGAGTCGCCCACCTTGCGTGGGTGATCAGGTGGGTCGCGCGCATTCTCTCTTGCCGGGGCGGGGGAGCGGGTGCTCCACCGCCTCTCTCGAGGGTTCCGTCTTCGTGTGCAGGGTGGCTAGCCGCGCCTTCTTGATCGACCTCCATGTCGGGCGACGGGGCGGGGGGGGGGCCTGTGTAGCGCGACGTGGTTGTGCATCCTCTGCATATCCCGCACCGTCGCGTATGTGTCTGGCCTTCTGATAGTGACCAGGTCGGCTCGTATGCAGTCCAGCTCCGCGGCTAGTGCGCGCGTTGCGGACGAGAGCTCGCGGCACGTGATTGGGGGGAGTAAGGGGGCGAGGAGCCCGTCTCTTAGCTGCAGGTTTCCGGGGTGCTCGATGGGGGGCTGGGGCTCCGGGGAGGAAGGCTGAGATGCTGCCTCTGTCATTAGCTCTGCAGTGGGGGCACCGAATTGGCATCGAGTTCCCTCCCTCCCTGAAGAGTTGCGGCGGACTCTGCCTCGACTGTTCTATGTAGTGCTCGTGGAACCTGTGTCCACAGAGTACCAGAACTTCCACCGTACCGCCTAGTTCCCCACTGCAGATGGAGCAGACCTGTGGGCCGTCTCCGGCCCCCATCCCGGCATGGGTTCGGGATCGCCGGACCTTAAAACCCTCTCTGCGTCACCGGGGGTTCTGAGACGTTGGAAATGGAGGTGCCCAGGCTCTCGATGAGGAGGCGGGTCGTGGACGAGGCCTCTTCCTCCGTAAGGCATGCCCTGAGGCCCACGTTCCGCAGGAAGAGACGTGTCTGTTCGTTCCCGAAGGGGGTGTAGGCGTTGGGAGTCTGACCGCCCCCTTCACCCAGGGTGTCTCTGATGTCGTTGGGAGTGTGAATGCCGGCGAGTTGCATCCACGTAGTGAGGACTTCGTAGGGTCTAGTGTCGATGCCACGGACCTGCAACACTGGTCGCCAGAGGGGGATATAGTGGGGCGCGAGGCATAGCCATATGGCCCGGGCTATCCAGCTTCCGGGTTCGATGTGTGGTCGAGCCTCCCTCAGTATGCCTTCTGCCAAGAGCTGCGCGTCTGCCCCGCTGATGGAGCTCCTGTCGATGATGTACTGCCTCGCTCTACCGCTGGCTTCGTTGTCTCTCTGTCGCGTCCAGGGCTCGGATAACTGCCTCCAGGGTGTCCCCTCTACGGCCTGCTGGGGCTGGGGGCCTGGCCCGGCTGTCGGTGTCTTCTCTTAACATTTGTCTGATATCGGCGTGCCACGGGGTTGTCGTGCCTTGAGCGCTGCCGTCCGCTTCGGGAGGTGCGCGGCGTCCTCCTTGTCCGCCGTTGTGTCGGGGGTTGTTTCGGGCGTTTGCCCTCGCCGCTCGGGCTCTTTCCCCTCTCTCCACTGCTCCCTGGTCGCCCGTGAGTATGCCCTCCTGAATGCAGCCGAGGGGGTCAAGCCAGCCCATCATCCGTTCCTGGAGTTCGGGACGGATATACCCTCCAGGAAGCGGGGCTTCGATCTCTCTCCCGGGCAGATGGGAGAGGGCTGCGGCATCTCTGGCGAGGCGGGCATGGGCGTCCTGGAGGGTTACTATGCCCTGCACATGCCAGCGGCCTGCAGCGTGCGCCACTGTGCGGGTGGATATCTCGGCGGCTCTGAAGACCTCTCGTAGCACACTCCTCCCTCTCTCTGTGGACGACTCCCACATGAAGGGGACGAGGATTCTGCTCCAGGTCATGTTGCTTGGAACGGTGTCGTTGGCGACCTGTGCGCGAATCTCAAGGATTTCTTGCAGTAGCCGAGTGGCACTGTTCCTTCTTTCAGGTGAAAGCTGCGCGCCGAGGTTGGGCCAGCGTTCTTCAATGGTCCGGTTGTCAGTCCCCCCGGTCGGGTCTCCCGATTGTTGGCGGGCGCCGCTTGGTACCGGGATTCCCCTCTCGTGGGATCGGGTTCGAAGCGTGATCGCTAGGCGCATCGCTGTGCCGCAAGGACTGTCTGGTGCGAGGTGGTCAGCGATGTGCCTCTCCTCCCTTCTGGCGTTGGCGATGATGGCTGAGCATGCCACGTCAATCGCCGCCGCGTCTACGCCGTGGGCGTCAGATGGCTGTCCGTCAGCTGCGACGTCAATGACGCCTAGCGCTTGGTCCAGAAAGCTCCCTCCTATCTCGGCCCGCAGCCAGTCGGCGTCTTCTGCTGGGATGTTCCTGAGGCACATTTGGAGCCTCATCCTCAGGCCATCCGCGTTGATTTCAGTTCCAGCTGGTTCGAGGAACCGAGCCGGCACCGCTATTCGGGGCAGTTGAGCGAGGCATCCGGGGACCCAGTCGCGTAGCTGGCGGTTTGCGGAGGTTTCCATGATGCGGTCCCGGATTTGTGCCGATGCTTCTAGGGCCCAGCCGCGTGGCGCACCGCAGAGCCTGGAGAGTGCACCCACCGTGGCTCTAAGCATCGGTTCGTCGCCGACGCTCGCGTCCGCCCTGTCCGCTGATCCGTGCCACAAGTCGTTCGGGCTGTCTGTCATGTGTCGCCATGCCGCCAGCAGTTCCGCGACGAGCCATGAGGGGGAGTAGCTGGTGGTTTCTGGCAGGAGGTGCGGGGGGCAAATGTGGCTGGCGATAGGCGCGTATCGGGCGCCTACTCTGGCCAGCTGGTAGGAGAGCTGGGTTCCCAGCGCATCGAGGGGGTGCCCTGGCGCCAAGAAGCTGTCGGGGTAGAATCCGTCGGCTGCAAGGCACCATGGAGTGGCTAGCCTGTGGCATACGATACACATGGGAGCATGGGGGTCCCGTGTGAGCTAACAGCCACAGTATCCGCACCTCGTGGAGGGGTGGAAGAAATCTCCGAACATTATCCTGTGAGACGTTGTGTTCAGGGGCCAGGGTTCCTCGGGTGCCTCATTGCCTTCTAGAATGACCCCTGGTATGCCCGGAGAGCGGGTCCCCGCACCCGGTATGGCTGGAGCGGCCCGCCCGTGGGGCCCTGTGCCGTATTGACCCCATCGATAGGACATCGTCACTTGCGTCGATCCATTGTCTTCTGTCGACGGCCCATCTTCTGACCTCCGCGTGGTCTGGGAAGTGGACGCGGTTCTGGCGGTGCTCGTGGACGAGGTAGCGGCATATTTTGAACCTGAGGTCGAGGTCGGGGTCCATTTCCCGCTTGTCGAGGTGCAGGAGGAGGAGGAGCAGGAGGAGGAGGAGGAGGACAAGGGGGAGAAGGAGGGGGAGGAAAAGGAGGAGGAGGAGGAAGAAGGAGGAACATGAGGAGGAGGAAGAGGACGAGGAGGAGGAGAAGGATGTGCAGGATGATGAGAGGAGGAGGAAGGAGGAGGGGAGGGAGGAGGAGGGAGGAGGAGGAGGAGGGAAGAAGAGGAATAATATGAAGAGGAATAATAATAATCATAATAATAATAATCATAGTAATAATAATACTAAGAATAATAAGAAGACTAATAAGAATAATACGAATAATAATCATAATAATAATAATAATAATAATAATAATAATAATAATGATAATAATAATAAGAAGAAGAAACATAAGAATAACACTAATAATAATAATACGAATAATAATAATAATGAGGAGGAGGAGGAGGAAAAGGATGCGCAGGAGGATGAGAGGAGGAGGAGGGAGGAGGGGGGGGAGAGGAGGAGGAGGAGGAGGAGGAGGAGGAAGAGGAATAAGAAGAATAATAATACTAAGAGTAATACGAATAATAAATACGAATAATAATAATACGAATAATACTAATAATGATACTAATACTAATAATACGAACAAGAATAATAATACGAATGACTAATAATGAAAAATAATGAATAGTAATAATAATGATACTATTAATAATAATAACAATAACAATAACAATAACACTAATCATACTAATGATAATAATAATACTGCTAATAATAATAATACTACTAATACTACTACTAATAATAATAATAATAATAATAATAATAATAATAATAATAATAATAATAATAATAATAATAATAACAATAGTAAAGATAATAATAATGATAATACTAATAAGAATGATAAGAATACTATTAAGAAGAAGAGGAGGAGGAGGAGGAGGAGGAGGGGGAGGGGGAGGAGGAGGAGGAGGAAGGAGGAGGAGGAAGGTAGAGGAGGAGGAGGAGGAGGAGAGGGCGGGGGAGGAGGAGGAGGAGGAGGAGAACGGTGGGATGGGCAGGGTGAGGAGGGAGGAGGGAGGAGGGAGGAGGAGGAGGAGGAGGAGGAGGACGAGGAGGTGGAGGAGGAGAAGGAGGTGAAGGAGGAGGAGGGGGAGGAGGCGGAGAAGGAGGAGGAGCAGCAGAAGCAGGAGGAGGCCTGTCCTGGGCCGTGACGCCTGCCGCCGCAGGGCCTCTCAAAAAGCTGATGCGGTCGCCCGCCCTGCACAGCTCGCTCGCCCAGGCCCCTCGGACGGCCGCCGCTCGTCGTCGGCGTCATCGTCGTCGGCGTCGGCGTCGTCGTCGTTGTTGTCGTCGCTGTCGTTGTCGTCGTCGTCGTTGTTGTCGTCGCACGTTCTCGCTCCTCTCGGGCCTCTAGGAGGTTTCTCGTCGCCACGGCTGTTGATGTCGCTGGGGTTCGAAAGTCTTCGCCGTCCGGTTCGAAGAGGCCTCTCGCGATCTCCCCACAGGCCCAGAGGGTCAAACATCCAACCTGTAAATTCGACTTCTATTCTGAATTCGATCCTCCATCCTGGAGGTGTTTTCCATCCAGTACGAGGATTCGACATCGATCACTTGTATGTTTGATCCGCAGTGTCCCCCTGGGGACAGATTTTGAGTGGACTTCAACCGCGCGCCGCCGCCGTTGCCGCCGTCGTCGTTCTCGTCGAGGTTCGAGGTCCGAAAAAGTCTTTCGCGATCTCCTCCAGGGACCAGTTCTGAGCGGATTAGGCAGCGCTCGTGGTCTCGATCGATTTTAATCTGATTTTGGCCGCACGCTCGTCGTCGGCGTCGGCGTCGGAGTCGGTGTCGGCGTCGTCGTCGTCGTCGGCGTCGGCGCTTTGGCAGAGCTTCGGGGCTCTGTTGGCCACGTCTGGACGCTGCTCGAAAAATTGACCAGGACGGATTCCTGGAGGGGTCAAGTTCGTCGTGCGTCGCCGTCCGTAGGAGTCTTGCGGGGGCCTGATTTCTTTCATCTTGGCGGTCTCCATAAGTTTCGGCCTCTTCGTGCCGTTTTCCGGGGCCCGAGGGTCCAAAGTCGACCCCCAGACCTCTCCACAACCCCACGGGTGCGTTCGGGCTAGGACATGCCAGAACTACGAGGGGAGTCCGGATGTGGCGACATGAGGCTTCCCGGAGGCCCAGATGAGTGCGAGAGGCGCACAGGACTCGAGGATCGAGGTTTTCTGTCGTTGGGCCCCTGGCGGAGGCGCACTCCGTGAGCTGCGCCGGCCTCTTCGTGGGCATCCAGATGCTGTGCCTCACCATGGGACTAATGCGGGGCGGCGTCACCGTGTGCGAGGCTTCCTCCCTCCTCGATCCTTCTCTTGTTCGATCCTCTTCCCTCCTCGGCACCCCTCGATCCTCCTCATTCTCGTCCTCGTCCTCGTCCTCCTCGCTCCTGTCCTTATCAGGGTGTGTGGGTTAAATCAGAGAGCATGAAACACAGTTTTGAGTTGCTGATTGTTGTCGGGGAGTTCCGCTTTCAGTGGGCGCTTCACCATCACTATCATCATCATCATCATCATCATCATCATCATCATCATCATCATCATCATCATCATCATCATCATCATCATCATCGTCATCGTCATCGTCATCGTCATCATCATAATCATCATCGTCATCATAAGTTTAATAATGATAATACTCAGCATCATCGTCATAACAATCAGCACCATCATGAGCATCATTGCCATGATCATCGTCACCATAATCATCACCTCCACCACTCTTCATTATCATCATCGTCACCGCTCTTCATGTTCATCATCGTCATCGTTATCCTCATCATCATCAGCATCTTCATCCTCATCCTCGTTCTCCTCTTCCTCATCATCACCACCACCACCACCATCATCATCATCATCATCATCATCATCATCATCATCATCGTCACCGTCATCGCCATGGCCCAGCAAGCCTAGACTCCATTCCAAAGCGTGGGGCATTGTGGGGCATCATCATCATCATCAGCAGCAGCAGCATCATCATCATACGGCCACTTTGGCTCAAGCACTTTTGGCTCAAGGCCAGGTTGCGCTACGAGCAATTTTGTGTGCAGTAATCTTTTTTCTCTTCGCAATGTCCTTCACTTGGCGCTTAGCGTATGTTGGGCGAAAGCTGGATGGAAAGCAAAATCTGGCACCGGTTGCGATCGAACTGTTAGCGAGAGTGATTCAGGAGCTGCAGCCAGCATCTGCCGCTGTACCTACTGTTGAGAAAGAGGTGGTCAAGGCGGTGATCGTCGAAAGGCCCATCGAGTTTCCGGTGATCCGCTCGTCATCAACATCACGATTGTCATAGTCATCATCATCGTTCGGAGATCGGCAGGGTCGTTCCGGCCAAGGGCCGCGGCAGACGACCGTGGGCGACGATTCAGTTGGGTTCCACAGACGTCCGAAAACGGAGATCCTCAGCCCACGCCGTCATGGCAGGATCGTGCCGCATCAGATCTCGCGTCTTTCTCTTTCCCAAGAGGCTCTACCGAGAGCACCTGGCCTCACTTGTCCTATTCCTCCTCGCTTTCTTCGCTACTCCCTATCGTCATTGCCTCCTCACGTGTGTGTGTGTGTCTGTTATTTCCTGATTTCGTGGCTCGCTTTCGTTTTTGCCTCGCCTCCTCACTTTGCGTCGTCTTCCTCATTGTCGACGTTCCTCTTCACGTTCGCCTCTCCTCCGCACTTTTCGCATTTTCTGCGTTCCTTCGCATGGTCGCTTCTTCTCCGCTCATTTGGTGCTTTTCTCTTTCTCGCCGTTCTGTTTGATTTTCGCGGTTCTTGCGCACGTGTCGTGTTTATCCTCGCGCTCGGCCTTCCTATTCACTTCCGACTCCCAATTATACTTTCCGCGTTCTTCGTCATTTTCTGAGTTTCTCCGCACGTTCGTTTCTCCTAATTGTTCTTGCTCTTCCTCGTTCAGGACTCTTCTCCTGACTTCCGGCGTTTGTCGCCATTTCAATTCGCCTCCGTATGTTCGGCATATCGCCATCATTATTGGCGCTCCTCTGCATATTGTGTGTTTTTTCCTTCCTTCTCGTAGTTCTCCTTGATTTCCGAAAGAGCGTGTTCTACGGCTGCTGGCGGAAAACGGGGGGGGGGGCCACAGCCGGTTCGACCCCCCCCCCCCACGCCTCCCTTCCGGAAAACTTGGGGGGGTCATTACCGGTTCGAACCCCCCCCCCGTCCATCATGAAAAGGGGGGGGTCACTACCGGTTCGAGCCCCCCCCTTCGAAAACCGGGGGGGGGGGCCACTACTGGTTCGAACCCCCTCCCCTTCGAAAACCGGGGGGGCGGGGCTCGGACAGTGATGGGGACGGTGGTGGTGGGGACAGTGGTGAGGGGACAGCGGTTTAGTTGTGGGGACAGTGAGACAGTGGTGGGGACGGTAGTGGTGGGGACAGTGACAGTGGTGGGACAGTAGCACGGTGGGGAAAGTGGTGGGGACAGTGGGGACAGTGGGACAGTGATGGGGACAGTGGGGACGCTGGGACAGTACAGTGGGACACCGGCGGGGACAGTGGGACAGCAGTGGGTACAGTGGGGAGAGTGGGACAGTGGTGGGGACCGTGGGGAAAGTGTGGAGAGCGGGACCGTGGTGGTGGGGAAAGTGGGGACATTGACACACTGGTGGGGGCACTGGTGGGGACAGCGGGGACAATGGTGGGAACAGTGGGGACAGTGGGACAGTGGTGGGGACGGTGGTGGTGGGGACAGCGGTGCGGGGACAGTGGGAATGTGATGGAAACAGTGGGACAGTGGAGGGTACAGTGGTGGTGGGGACAGTTGTGAGGGCGGTGGCCAGGACGGCGGTGGGACAATGGGACAGAGGCACAGTGGGGACACTGGTGGGGACAGCGGTGGGAACAGTGGGACAGGCCAGTGGGACAGCGGAGGAGACAGTGGGACTGGGGACAGTGGGGACAGATCACGTATGGAATCCCGCGGTAGTCTACTGTCATTGCCGTGAACCCGCAGCCCACCGTGACGTCACTATCTGAAATGACATCGATAGTCGGGCAGTGGTTGGGGCCGTGGACAAAGTGGGGAGAGTGGAACCGTGGTGGGAACAGTGGTGGGGACAGTGCGACAGTGGTGGGGGCACTGGTTGGGGCAGTACGGACGGTGGTGGAACCAGCGGGGACAGTGGTGGTGAGGACAGTGGTGCTGGAAACAGCAGTAGAGGATGTGGTGCGGACGGTGGTAGGGACCGGGAGTCGTTTGCTGGCGGTGGGGGAGGAGGGGTTCGAACCGGTAGTGACCCCCCCAGGCTTTCGAGGAGGAGGGGGGGTGGGGTAGTGATGTCCATAGTGGGGGTGTAGGGCATGTCGGATTTGCGTCAGGAGGTCACCGCGGGATGACCTCCTGACGGCTCTTCCGTTGCACTAATGGAGCGAATTCCAGGCTGTGATTTCTTAGGAGCGTTTGGTTTCGAGCGGTCGAAATTCACAGCTCGGGGCAAAACAGTCGGTCAAACATATGGGATACTGAGAGTCGACATGCCATGATCTTATCAACTCAGGCGTTCAAATTTCGATGTTCATTGAATACCTGCGTGCCACTATCAGGATCACAAGAAATTCTGGACGACGAAAGGCGAGGTTTTAGTTACTCGGGGTGCCGGATGTACAGCATGCGCGTGTCAGAGGAGGGGGATGGATACGATGATAGGATGAGGGGTAGCACGATGTGGATATTAGAGGGGATCGAATGAGATGTTAAGGGTGTGATATGCGATGTAATAATATGAGGATGATGCTACGAATGCGATGAAGATGCCACTGTGAACCTGTTATGGGTATGCCGATGATGAATGCGATGATGAGAGGATGCGGAGTACAGTCGGTGCCCTGAAGAAGGAACCCTTTTCGTTGGGGAGGGGCTCCGTGCTCCGTGTCCCTTAATTGTTTCGCAGCTTGCTTCAGATTGTCCTTAGGTTTTCGATGCGAAATCGAAGTTTAACTTATGGAAAATAGGGGCCTCGTTCCTTATTTAGCGTTCCTTAGGTCAACGCCTCCACTGTATGCTGAGGATGCGGCGTCACCTTGGTTCTTCTCGTCGTCCCTGTCCCTCCCCTCGTCGCTGCCAGCCTTTTGGCTATGGCTGTGGCCATTTTGGACACCCGAAGTGGGCACGGAAAGAATGGGCACGCTGCCCAACCGCAAATGAGGTCCCGAACAAACAGCGGCCGCTGTTGGGCAGGCGGCCTTTTGTCTCAAATGAAAACAGGCCGCGGTGGCGTGGACAGCGGATCCTGTTCAAAATGAACAAGAACTGCTGTTGGGCATTGTGTCCATTCTTTCCGTGCCCATGTCGGGCGTCCAGAGCCATCGCCGCCCCGCGCCTCTTTTCGGCGCTCACCGCGCATGCCGGCCTCAATGGCTTCGGCGAACCGGCGCTGCCGCGGCGCGCCCTGGGCGCCCTTGCCGCTGCGCTGGGCGCAGGGGGCCAGGCGCGCATGGCCGCCTCATTGTTTGCCGTTATCCCTTTCCCCCCCCCTCCATCTGCCACTTCGCGCGTCTCGGCCTCGTACTTCCTCATCCACCCCGACCGACTTACCCGTCTCTCTCTCTCAATTCCTTTTTCGTCGGCGCCGCCGGTGCCGCCATCGTCGCATCGCCCGTTCCAGTCGCATGTTGCACTTAGTATGGCTCGCGACGCGCATCGGTGTGCCTGATGCGTTTCGCTTGAGACATCCCCCACCTCCACCCTCCACCCGCTTCCGGGCATCGCCTGAGCGCAGCCTGGCGCATCGCCTGCGGCAGCCTGAGACATCCACCGACATCATACGTCGTTGTGGTTCGCCGATTTGCAGCGCGTCGTGCCACGCTCGTCGTCAATTGTCCGTAGGCGTTTCGGTTAGTGTGTATCTGGCCGCGATCACCGGGGCTTCGATGCGATGCCGCGTCCTCCTGCGACGTGCGCGGTGGCGGAGGAGACGGTGGCCAAGGGTGAGCTCGCCGCTGTGGCGGAGGAGGCACCGGAGTCGGTCACGGTCGAGCGTGTCGAATTCGCACCGCCGCCGCCGTGGGCTCGTCGCGGCGGCGTGATCAAGGGTAAGCCGCGGCGGCAGGGGCCGCCGCCCCCCGCGTCGCTTTCCCTTCGCGATCTCGGATGCTCCGCATCACCGCCGCGATCGAGCGTCGCCGGGCCGTCTTTCGCCCCGACTGTCGCTGTCGCCTTCTTTCGTGAGCCCCTGTCGGGCCGCATATGCATTCCCTTTCTACACTCTACACCCCCTCCTCTTTCTCTTTTTCATTTTCCTCATCCTCCTGCTCTTCCACAGTCCTCCTCGCCCTCATCGCCCCCCTCCTCAGCCGAATTTGATGGGCAGGCGTGGGCGACCCTATCTGATGTGCTGGCCTTCGGGCCGAATGCCAGTACATCAGATGCGGCCACTTCGTCGTGTCTGGGCGGTTGGTCGGATGCCTCGCGCCATCGCGCCTGCTCGGCGACAGTGGAATTAGCGCGGCTCGCGGTCGGCACCACAGACCGCCGCGCGCGTTGTGCAGGCCGCGGTGTCTTTGCGCATTCGTGCCGCACGCTTGGGTAGTCGCACGCGTTGCGCTCTTGCGCGGTCAACGCCATCGCCATCTGCCATCGCTTCGTTACCGTCTGTTGGCGTCGGCGGTTCGTTCGGGGCCATCCATTGCACGAGAGTGATCAGTGATCAGCTGGTTCTGATGAGGTGGGTGATTGGATGTTGAGATGTTTTATGATGGGAACGATTTGTAGATAGATGGATGGTGATGAGGCGATGCGACGGTGACTCGCAGTTGAGGACGTCATTAACGATCGAATGCGGTCGGCGCGGATGGGGGGGGGGAGTATGCGGACGAGGTCGACGGGGTCACGGAGAGGGAGGCGTCGGGCGATGGGCAGGAGGCGCTCGATGTCGAGGCGGCCTCTAGATGCTGGGGGCGAGTGCGAGCGCGCCGCTTCCCCCCACCTCCCGCCCCTTCCTTCCCTCGCCCGCCCGCTCTGCAGGCGCGCCGTCGCGTCGCCCGGCGCTATGACGCGGCGAGCTGCGCTGGCTGCCCAGCTCAGCAGGGCCCGGCAGCGGGCTCAGTGGTCGCCGTCTGCGACGTTTGTCGATGGCCGCTCCTCCCCCTCCTCCTCCTCCTCCTCCTCCTCCTCCTGATCCTCGCTCCTCTCCTCCCCCTCCTCTTCCTCCTCCTCCTTCGCCGCGTCGCCCTCCGCCACCCCCTCGGCCTCCGCCTCCTGGCCGCCACCTGCCCTCATCATGCCCTTCCCTCAATCTCCTTCTGCGCGCCCTCATCGCGTCCTGTTCGCGCCCTTTTCCCGTCGCCCGTCGTCTTCCCCCCACTCTCCTGACCCTCTCGCCCCCCTTGTTCCGCCTCCGCCATCCTCGCATCTGAACTCGCATGATCGTTTATATCGCCCCCCATTCGCTGCCCTCCCCCCTCTCCGCGCCCACCTGGTCTGACCCTTCACCTCGCCGCCCTCAGGTCTCGCGCCTGCAGCGCGGCCCCACCCCCTAACTATCCAATCCATCTTTACTCTCCCCCCTTTCACCTCGCAGCCGAGGTCGCGTTCATGGACCGTTACGCCTCCGACATCTTCACCCTCGACGTCGTCGACGATCTGTTGGTCAACGCCCCCGCCGCCCCCCCCCCCCATTCTCCGCACCCCCCCCCCCCTTTCTTCGTCTCCTGCGCCGTGCGCCGTGCCCGCAACTCCGCCATCCAGTCCAACCGATCCTTCCCACTTCCCACTCCTTCTACTTCTCTCGTAGCTCCCCAACGCAACACCATTTCTGATTATCTGGTTGAGGCGTCCTGCCACCTCCCTCCTCATCCCTGCCACCTCCCTCCTCATCGTTGGAATCCCTACCACCTACCACCTCCCTCCACCCCCCTGCTCACAGTCTCTCCCTGCCACCTCCCTCCCCATCCCCCTCGCCCCCCCTCCTGCTCATCATCCTCAGCCCCTCATCCTCCTCATTCGCCTCGTCCTCCTCGCCGCCACCACCGTCATTTTCGCCCTCCTCCATCGGTCACGCTGCGCATGCAGCCGCCCGGCCACGCTGCGCTGACCCGCGTGTCCTTCCAGTTGAAGGTTCGCCTTGTCACCGATCGCGCCCCAGTGTCTGGCGCATCTGATGTTGCGGTTGCGGCGCCGCCATCGCCTGCTGCAGCGTCGACGGCGCTCGTGCCCGCTGCGAGGTCGCCGGGGCGTGGCATGGCTAGCGCCGCCACCCCCCTGGCCGCGCGGCGTCGAGCTGCCCGGGCCGAGCGCCAGATTCGCCAGCTCAGACTGAACGTTCGAGCTTTGAAGGCGAAGATCGCTCGGCAAGCTGCCGCGATCAAGCGATGCACCTTGCGGGTCAGCACGCTCGAGCGCGGCGTCGGCGACCCGCGCGTGGTCTCGCGGGTTGGTTCGCGCCAGCTGAGCTGGAACACAGTCGTCGCGACAGGAGTTCGGCGCAATCTATCCAACATCGCAGCTGCAGACTTCGGAGCGATCGCGCTTCTGGACGTGTCGCGCCAGACCGTATGCCGTGCTGAACGAGTTGTCGGTGCCTGTGTTGTTGCGTCAAGCCGTTACTTCTTCAGAGAATGGCGGCTCGCCTTCGCTGGATTCGGCGGCGGAGTCGCCGCCGTCTCCGCAGTCGATCGCGAACGTCTACCCCTGGCGGGGCGATGCAACAAACTCAGGCGCGTGGCAGCGCCAGAAGGTGCGCGCCGTCGAAGCCGAGGCCTTCACGATGTTGCGCCCGATGTCCGATGCCGCCAGCTCCACCCTCAGGCTTTGCGACGCATTCTCGCATGTTAAACGCTTGTCGGACATGCAGACCGTCACGCGCGGCACTGGTGAGTTCACATATATGTTGACCATGATGCAACTGGAAGCACTTGGAGGTCCGCTTTGGGACGAGCACGGCAGCAACCCCACATGCGACACTTGTCTTCATTGGTATGTGACCACCACAGATCAAGGCAGCGATCAGATCAAGACGCGCCAGATCATCGCCATCCTGACGGCCCCTATGCACAAAAAGTTTTTATGGATCATAACTGCTGGGAACACATCGTCCATCTCATCGTTGGCCAGTCGCTTCGACTCGCCGACCAGTTCCTTAAGACATGGGGCCAGCCATGGCGTTACTACTCAGCTGTGGCGATATGTGCTAATGTGTGGCGTGATAACGCGCGGCCTATATATCTTTGGTGGACTCGGACTCTCGGCGCGGTCGGTGCGAAAACCAGGGCGTCCACATTATGTCCCAAGGCTCGTTCTGCACGCTGGGGGGCTGTGGAGTCAGTTGAGGCACGGCTGAGCACCGTCTCCCTCGTGCTGCACGACGCGCTCCGCGCCGTCTTCACAGGCGTTGACGCCGCGGGGCCCCCGCTGCTTTGGCGGACGCAGCTGATGCCGCTGGTGCCCTCGGCGCAGTTGAACTTGAACCAGCGCTCGCCGCCGGCGTCGACGCGCGCCGCTCTGTTGGAGACGCAACCACCGACAGTGCGAAGGCGTGGGCTTCAATGATGGGTCGCTGGAGGAAGCAGGCAGCTGTTTGCACCGCCGACCCACTGTTCCGGGCCGTGGTCGAATGCAGCCTGTGGAGCAGATCGGTGACTGCGCGCATGAGCTGCTTCTTGAAGGCCAGCGGCCGCCAGCGCATCGCCGAGCTTGCGTGCGGCGAGGCCGCTGTGTACATCAAATCCTCACATCGCCCGTCGTCATCGCCGTTCCGATCGATCGGTCGTCGGTCGGTCGGTCGAGTCATCGCCATCGCCGTCGTCGCCGACGCCGTCGGGTCGTCGGGCCGTCGGTCGTCGTGAGCCTTTCCATCGTCGTGGTCGTCACCGCCGTCATCTCGTCAACGTCGCCGCCGCTCGTCCGTCCGTCGACGCCACCGCGCATCGAGCCCTGAATCGCCGACCCCCTTCCCGCCAAGGCTGCCAGCCTCCTCAGCGAGTTCGACGCCCTGATCGACGAGCATCCCTGGCGCGACCTGTTCGGGCGCATGCCAGAGGACAGCCAGTCGGTCTCTCTCCCCCCTCCCTTCTCTCTGGTGCCCGCCCTCCCTCTCAATCAATCTACCACTCCATCCCCTCGGGCCCCTCCCTCTCCTGGATGTCCCGGGGCCTCCTCCATAGCGCTGCTATCCTTCGCGCTGCGCCTGGGCTCGTCGGGCGCTCGCGGGCGCCTGTGGAGGGGGGGGGGAGGGGGGGGGGCGGAGGGCGGCGGAGGAGGGGAGGGTTGGGGTTGGAGGAGTGAGGAGGAATGCGCGACGAGTTAACTGATGATAGGATACGCGAATAGGCGGGCGCCCCCCGAGCGTGCATTATATGACACATCCCAGGAGGTCGACCGCGTCATGCTGAACTCTTACGCGATCGCCAATCTCATGGCTCAGGAAGGCGGGTTTTGGCGTCGCATAGGTGAACCAGTTGGTACGTGGCCATACCGCATGTTCGGCTTGAT